GCGTCCCCTGATCAAAGCCCAACGGTCACAGAGCTCGCCGACGGGCAAATCGGGCTTAAAATCGTGTAGTTTTAACTAGGCTTAATTTGTGCCTCCTTAATCCTCCATCCTCGAGCCTGTGACCTGGAAATTGCTGCCATCTTGAAGGACATCTCAATTCCTACAATGCACTTCGAGGGGCAAAGGATCAAGGATCGAAGAGGCTTTCTGGAGGAGCTATAAGCAAGGATCCACCGATGTATCCTTTGAGGAGGTCTTTTCGGCAGCTGTGTCATGCAGCTGGACTATACAAACAACCCATGGCCAAAGCAGGACTCCACAGTGTTCCTGTTGTATTCGTTACTTGTATTAGTCATTTAAAACGATCAAATGCGCAATCAAACTCTCTGCCCTTCACTGTTATAAAGCGCTTTTCTAACCACATTCCTTAATGACATTTCACTTTGATGTCACTGATGTTGTTATTGCATGTGATATGTGGATGGGCAGTCAGGATCGTAAAAAGGAACACTGAATAGCACTGGGTGAATTAGCGTTTCCCCATTACGAGAGATGACGTGTTTGGGTTGTGAAAATCATTTGTTAGGAGTGTGGTTTTGTGTTCATGTCTTTCCTGTTTTAGTCTGTTTTTGGTCTGTTTTTAGTATGTTTCTCTGTGTAGCCTTGTTTATTATTTTATTCATTCACATGTTCTAGTTTACTTAGTATCTGGTCTCATGGGTTTGGTTTGGGGTTCTGTGTTTCTATAAGCTTCATGTTTTGGGTTTTGTAGCTAAGTTTAGTTTTTTGTTCATTCGCATGTTTAAGTTTTCTTAGTATCTGTCTTGTCTCTTATCTCTTATGTGTACTTCTGTGTTTTATTATTTTGGGCTGTGTCTTAGTCCTTAGTCTTGTGTCTCCATGTAGTCCTGTCTCCTGTTTGGTCCTGTCCCTGCTCTGATTTTGCAGTCTCTCCATGTTTGTTTCCTCTTATTTTGTAATCTTCTCTGCCTGGTGTTTCTTGTCTAGCTTTGCTCCCGTTGTTAGTTTAGTGTATTTCTGTCTTGATTATTAGTTTGTTACCACTGCCTTTGTTTCTGTACTTTTGTTTATGGATCTGTGTCTGCTTGTGTTTGTAGTCATTTCGGTTTATTCTTTATTCTGTCCTGTATTAGTTTCCTGCCTGGTTACCTTGCTGTTTCACTGTGTGTCTGCTGTGCCTAATTAGCTGCTCATGTCATTCACCTGTTTTGTGTTCCCACCCTGCTCGTTTGCCTGAGTATTTCAATGCCTGTGTTCTGGTCAGTCTTTGTTGGTTCATTGTTGCATGTATCCTGTGTTGCTCTGTTACTTGAGTTTGTTCTTGACTCTTGTTCCCGCAGAACCTCGCCTTTGTTTTTTGGACCTCTGGCCATAACTTTTTTGTTTGTTTATACTCTTTAGACCTTTGGCTGTTTGTTGGCCACCTTCCTTCTTCAGTGCCTGGAGTCCAGCAAGTTAAAATGTTGCTGTGTATAGAACTCTCTCTCTCTCTCTCTCTCTCCCACTGCTTCCCTCCCCCATCACTACTGTGCTCGTGGACCAATGCCACCTGTTGGTGAATGGCCAGAACAATGTTGCGTGGCAAGATCCACATCACTTTTTGTTTTCCTTTTACAGGCTATATAGGAGCACACACACACACACACACCATGAGGCTATATTCACTAAATAGATCAAAAACTGTATTTGATTACAATCACTTACTATCCCTTTAATGGAGCAGTGGCTGAAAAGACACAAATGGTTTCAGAGCTATAACACCCTACCACAGGTGTAAGCAATCATCCAGTGCAATCAATCTGAACCACAGGAAGCCTGACATAGCAGGAACACAGCGCTGCGCTTCATTAGTCAGCACTGTCGCCCACAGTTCAGCTGAACCGATGGGAGTCACACTAAAAAATAAACACATTGCAGCAAGGCAATGAACAGTGTTGGGTAACTTAAATTTGGAAATGACATCTTTACTTATTACTTATTTAAAAAGTACATTACTAATTAACAATAGAACATATTTCTGTAACTCATTAAAGATACCTTCCTTTAACTTCAATGCTGCCACACCAACAATCACATATTCTGATTTCAATGCATTTGTTATTTCTGGTAGCTGTAGACAACATGTAAATATGGCAACTTTATGCTTCATACTGCTTTGAGGATATTTACACATCCGTAATACCAGACTATAGTAATAGAATCTCATTAAATCAATCAGCTTATGAAACGGTAAAAGGTAGACTATTCTCTAACAGTTGTATGGCCAGGTCCAGGTGTGGTAGATGAAAATTGTCTGGAAATGATATTGTGCAGTAATCAATGTACTTACATACCCATACATTCACTCAACTTTTAATTCATTTCTGGATAACATGGTTTGGACAGCACAGTGAGTACAGATTTCACCCATGAGTCTTCTGCTCACAATATTCTCCATTTTGTCCCTAAGACAGATAATAGGTTTCTTGCAGAGGTAGGCTACAGAACTCCAGAGCTTCTACTGTATGCCCTTTCAGGAATATCAATGTTCTCTCGTCCTTAATGTCTTTGACACATTTTCCAGCATTGCAATGGAAAGTATCCAGGCCATACTTACTGAGGTGGACTGATCTTCCGCTACTTTATGAACCATCTATACCTCTCAGGTCGTCTGGGACAGGTCTGCTTTCTGTCCCCAGGTTAAAGACATGGAGAAGCAGCATCTGGAACAAACTCCCAGGTGTGCTGAAACTGTCTTCTTTTAAATCAAGCGTAAAAACCTTTACCGCTGCCTTTTAATAAATCAAATTTTATTAAAATCAGATATTCCTTGCTTTTGAAACTCAATTGGTTTCTCCTCTCTCATAAGTAGTCAGACCAACTCTTACTTAACATGGCCGAAAAGACACTCTCAGTATAGTTCCCGGCTCTCTGGGTCATGGTGTGTCCGGGCAGAGTACAGCTGAACGTTTTTCTCTGCTGTTTTGACTGTTTACCAAGATTGTAGAGCAAACAATCTGATTCATGGTGACGGGAAATAAAAATTGAACGGGGTTTGAGTGGTGTGAGAGATGGGAAAGCAAATAATGGAGGATGAAAAGCCTGATTATTCATAACCCAGAATTATGGGTGAACATATAGGTTTACTGGGTAAATTAACCAGTTTTTATTTTTATCTTCCCCCCCCCCCCCATGTTGCCTTTATATTTTGTGGAAAGCACTTTGAATTGCATTGCTGCTAAAATGTGAGAGATATATATATGGTTAAAGGACTGCTGTTATCTACTTGTAAACTGATCAGTGTTGAAAAATAATAATTGCTGCCTGGTGTCAGTAGTTTTGTGCTATCATTTGGAGAGTGAATTTTGTAAACTGGACCACAGTTTTGGTGTTTATGTAAATCGATTCCCATTTGTTCCTCACAATAGAAAACAACAATGGAGAAAAACTGAAAATAAAAAATACACAAACTTTTTCTTAAATTTCCCTGTTCACTTCTGAAAGATGCGGTAGTCCTGCCAAAATGGTCCTGTCTGATGTAGTTGTAGGTAATACAATATCAATTGGGTGATAACAGGTATAACACAAAGTAACAAATGTATGTTGTTATATGTTGAAACCATGGAATACATTTTTAGTCAGATCCATACATCTGCTATAGCTACACCTTTTATTAGGTATTAAGATGACTGAATAAAATGTGTTGTCTGTATCATTTATTTTATTTTAATTTTATTTTCTCTGCAGTCTGTTTTAAATTTAGTTCATATCAGTTCAGACGAGCTATGGGAGACAGTGCTTCCTAAGAAACAGCACTTTGTGTCTGATGTGGCCTCCAATGATCTGATCCTCTTTGACGGAGTGGGGGGTTACCAACACCTGTGGTAATGCTGTGAAATCACAAGTGCCGTTCCATACACTGATGACGGACTGATACCGGGATTGTCTGTATGTGTGAGAACCCAGAATAAAAAGCGTAAAGTGCAACAAATTGGTCTGGACTTCAGACAAATTCATTTATTCGTTCAACGAGGCTCAGACGGCAAGATGCGCCCAAGCTATAGTTCTCTGACTAGTGGACAGACGGACAGAGAGAGTATATTCATATAAATGATATGCCTCAATAAATTGAAAATCACAGTCTTGTTCCGCTCTTCTCACAAAAGCCTGTCTGTTGCTCTCAGTCCCAACACCACTCCTTTCAGCTAAAGATCTTTAAAAATAGGTCACAAATATATGGTTACATTTGTTTTGTTTTTTTAAATCCTGAAACAGCTGGGTGTTGTAGTTTTTAGCATACAATTCTCAAACTGGAGTAGTGCATTTGTTGGGGACCATTTTCAGCACTGGATTTTAATGCAGTGGGACTGTGTATTTTCCATCAACTTAACATAAACCACAGTGCCCATGCTGATTGTAATGAAGAACCCACATTAACTGAATGGATAAACAAATGTAATTATAGTCAGATCTCCTTGTGCCGTAATGATGGGGCAGTGATGCTTTCACACAGCATGCAATTTTTCGTCTTCCTTCTTGTGGCAGCTGCATCTGTGTTGCTTTTAGCCTGGATTATCTGTATAACTTCTTTTTATATATTATGGTTTGCTTTACATTTGTAAAAATATGCCACTCTACCACCAGTAGACTTGTCCATTTTTGCGATTGGTCATCTGCTACAAATACTTGCCCTTTTATGGATGCTGATGGCTGGATTTGGAAACCCTGGGAGTTGATAACCACCATCATGTGACGGCTTACCGTTATTGCCATTGTTAAGGTTAGTGAAGCCAGATAACAAAATATTTCCTGGGTATGTTGAACCTGCTTTAATCTAGGCCCCAAGACACAAGAGGGGTAAAGAAGGGTTTACCAAAACAAAACAGGAAATCACAACACTCCATGACAGTTGTGTCTAGGATTACTTAGCCCTGACTTTACTGCCACACAATCGTGAGTGTAAATATGGCATAGATGAGGACTTATGACAGGGTATTTACCAGTGATTAGGTTGTCCACCACGTTGTAGGGATGCAGAAGATGCCCACCAACAGGTCGCTGATTGCCAGGTTGAAGATAAAGAGGTTGGTGACTGTGCGCATGCGACGGTTTTCCAGTACGATCAGACACACCAGGATGTTCCCAATCATGCACAGCAGGAAGATGAAGAAGTAGGCCAGGATGTAGCTGGCAGCCACATACAGAGAGTGCTGATAGTAGGGGGAAAAGGTAATGTTGGTGACGTTTACTGCACCATCTAGGCTGGTGTTTATAACGCCTGCTGTGGTGGCTGATCCCTCCAGCTCTATCCCTTCCTCGCCCATATTGTCCAGATTCTCCATCCTTAGGATGGAACACTGCAGAGGAGATCAAATACAGATCATTTAGAATTATGTTTGGAAAAAATGCTTGACATGAGAAGCAAGTTTCATTCTGAAATTAACACTTGACACAGCAAGCGTGTCTCATTTTGATGATCTGTGTTCTGTCAACTGACCAATCGGTGTCCTGCCTCATGTAATGATTGTCCAATCACAGCAAAGCAACCGTAACAAGCATGGCAGGCCTGTAGGAAGGATTTCTCCACATGCCAAAGATGGTTTGCACAAGGAACTACTAAGAGCAATTTAAAAAAATCTTTTTTAAAACCACAAGCAATGTGAAGTGTAAGGAATTAATGAATATCTGCAGCACGCATTAGCATGCCTAGCAAAATACTATCTACATTAAACATGAAAGTCTGTTAGTAGTAGTTAATAGTAGTTGAGACCAGGAGGAAGAGATGCAGTCTTACACGGTTCTCTGTGCTTCCACTGGAGCAGTAACCAAAAACCTCAGTGGTCTCTAGAAAAATTAACACCACTGCTGCAATAGTATGAAGAAATAGGAGAATTAAATGTGGATTTTTAAACATTAGATCACTTATCATCAACATCAACTCTGTCAGCAAGTCCAATCTATTTCAGTTGGGAATTTTATTAAAAACACCTTTTGCCTTTCAGCTGTGGGTTTCATGTGTAGGTGAAGGGAGCAGCATTAATAATAGAAGATTTCCAATCAAAAGTAAGTCGCTGGCAACTTTACTCAACTCCTACTGTCTTATTGTTACTGAAGCTCCTGTTGATCAGGTATTTAAGATCTCTTCCTGTTTTAAAACATTAATGTTTTAATCTGAAGAATTTAAAAAAATATTTTTGCTGGAAAACTAGAAATACTGTAATGTGCAGTCTATTCTTAGCTAGTAACACCAGCTCACTGACATGGGAGTTACACAACATGTGTGAAGGAAGGCAGCTGTGGTACTTCACAACTTTCATTAGGTCTGTGTATCAGTTATATAATTAAAGTGTGAAAACACCATATTGCAATACAGAATGAACTGCTGCAGTTGAACCTGCAACACTGCCTACATCATAGCATGCAAGCTCACTAGCACAATGACTTATAATTGGAAAGCTGATGCTTTTCTAGAGAGACAGAATTTAATTTTTAATCATCAAGATTAAAGACCGGCCTGACTGTCATTGGCCAGGTGTCAATGTATGTCATCACTTTTTGAAACCCTGTCAGCCTCATATGAAGCCATGAATAGCAAGCTAAGTAACAAATCCGCAAATGAACGTTCAGCAGGAGAGAAACTCATTCAGTCATATTACAACCCTCTATAAAGGCAAATTTCATTATGATTGAAAAAAAAAAAAAAAAACCCCAACAACATTCAAACTTTCACAGAGGAAGTCTGTGAAAAACTTGCTTTTGCAAAGTGTGTGATGTTGTGTGTCAGCCTCATGACATGAGGGGTTTTCATGTTTTGAGCTTTCTTCTGACAGTTATTGACTGTGACAAAGTGGTGGTCACATATTCAAATATTTGGAGAAAGGCAGAGATTAGGACCATGCATGTCTATTTTAATCCAGGGGTAGAATACTAGAAATGGTTCGATGTAGTTGCGAGCAGCACGCTGATGGGCAGCGAAAAGCCGCCATGGTGCAGTGCAAGCCATTGGTAATATTGGGTTTCAGAGTGCAGTTGTACCGTTGTCATGTGGTGTATGAAAGGGCCTTTAAACAATAAAAGTGGAAAGTAAGGGGCACCAAGGTGGTATAGTGGTTAATTTTACTTACTAAACTAGCTAGGCCTGCATGTCAAACTGCTTGATGTGTTGGGACGTAAAATTGTTCACCTAAAGACTGGCCATGTCTACTGCAAATCTAAAGACGCAGATGTGCGCAATTTTATGGTGTTACACATATCAGCAGTTGGTGGGAGCAAAGAACCATTAAATGGTATCAATTTGACAATATATGAGGGCTGCTGGTTAATGCGTGGTTCAAAAAGTATTGGTACCAAACATGTGAAGATACAGCCTGCAGAAAACTGCTCAATGTTCTGATCAATTACAAACATGTTGCTGTGGTGATGACGTCTGCAGTTAAACCAGTAGCATTCCTATTTGCACATGAGCAGTGAGCTGAAACGGTGATTGTTAATTTGCCTGGATTACAGGACTACACTATCAAGAGAATCTGCTAGACTACTGACAAGCCCGATGGTGTTCATGTAGAACGGTCAGAAAATGCCAACCCATGTGGAGAGCAAAGGCTGCCAAAAAAACATGTATTTGCACATGGAGCATCAGTTTTTGGGGCCAATTGACTTCATTGAGCAAGACAGCTACTGTGCAAATTACTGGCCCAAAGACACTCAAGACTACGGCAATTCAAATATGCAAAGCTGGTAATCTGTCTGTAGGCAATTTGTTGTTTTTTGTTTCTTCAATTTGGAAGGTTTCCTGAGGGCAGGCTAAACATTGTTATAATCTTGTTGCTTTGTTTGGTAGATTTTTGATGGCCATGGCCAGTAAACTGGCTTTATCCCTGATAATCTGTCAACAACTGCTTGATTTCTTTACTCTATGACAAAGACTTCAAGACCTCACATATCCTATGTGAGAAAATCAACCAATGTATAAACACTGTTAGCTCGACTCCACAACCCAGTAACTTTATATAAAAAGGAATTTAGTTTACATCTTAGATTTTGCTGTATTTTGTGATGTTTACCGTTGGCCAAAAAACATCACCCTTAGTACATCTATAATACTGGTCGTTGGATTTGATAAATATTTCCCATACGACAGCGTGATCTACAGCGCCTCATTTTAAACATCTTTATTTGGTAACAGCTCATATTGTAAGAAAAATGGTTAAATAGCTCGAGAGACGTTAATAGAGTGCCAGTGTCTTAAATCTTTGTTCTGCCTTATTCTGATATTTGGCACTTGATTCACGTTTCTGTGAAACAAAGAGATATTTGGCTTGAGAAAGAGCACTCCTAGCTAATGATGTGCGGATCAATCCTAAAGTATCGATACTTCTGATACCAACATTTCCTGCTCTAGGATCTATACTCATATAAAGGATCGATATCTAAACTCAGTAATGTGGAGTGAGTGTGTGTTTTATCATAAGTATCTTACTGTCACCAGGATGGTCTAACTACTCTGTTGATAGGAACTACTTTTCCTTCCGCCTGTCAAAGTCATGCTTGCGCTAAGGCTCTGTGACAGAGCTTCTTTGAAGTGAGCCGCTGCAGACCTTTACATTTCCTGCGAATGAATACTGACGTCTGGCTGTATTTTAGCTGTGAAGGTAATAATGACGCTGTGTGTGATGTGTGTGCAAAGACAGTGAAAGACTTTGGCAACACTCCAAACTTCGCTAAACATCTGAGATTAAGTCAAAATAATATGATGATGTTATAAAGTGGCAGTTCTGAGCAGGATATTTTCAATATAATTAAAGAATATGACAGTAGTTTGATGTCTTGTCATTATGCAGCTATTATTTTGAATTGGTAAGGCTACAGCCTACTCCTTATTTCTCTCAGATACAGAAATGGGAGGAGGGAGGTCACATTAAACTAGAAATAAAATATGTAAAAAGTATTGGTATCGCCAATACCAGCCTGGGTATTACTTGGTATTGGATCGGATAGAATTAAGTGGTATCGCACATCACTACTCTTTAGCCATATCAGTGTTTGAAATCTTGTGACTTTAACTTAATATTGCATTGTCAACAACATTTGCCTAAAGTTATCCAGAGATGGCCAGCTTGTGAAACACAATACTAACGCACAGTATGCTGCCCATATGCTGGTGATACTAATCTGATCTGCAGATCATTCAGTTATGTGCATGACTGCTAATAATATGGTTTTCCAGCTCATTTAACTGATACAGTTAAAGAGTAAATTAAATATAACCCTTCTCCTCCATCCTGTTTTTCTTGTTTGCTATTTAAATGCAATAATCTGTTAGGAGAAACTTGAGGTAAAGTAAGCGTCTATAAGACATAATACTAAGGATAATATAGGCTACAGGTAATTATAATTAAAAATGTGATGAGTTTTAAAAAGTCTTATCTTTGAAAAGTGCAGTGAAAAAACGACAACTTTACAATGCTGCTCTCTCTGTGTTTGGAATAACGTAATCTGTGTAGTGAACAACCAGTGCACACATTATTTCATGACAAAAGGAAAACACAGCCATCTCTCCTTTGTTTCTCTCTGCCACATCAAAAACTTTGTTTCCACCCTGAGTGCTGTGTGCTAAGTAAACAACCAAGCAAACCATTGTCTCCTCTGGATTTAAGATAACTGACAACTCAATTTAACTTTGTCCAGATGTCTCTGTTCGGCTGTCTCTAACAGGCAAAACTATTCAGTCCTTTCTGACAACTAAGGAGTTGCGGACACATGGCATTTCCTATACCGTACTGCACGTCAATATTTGTTTTTTCCCCAATACACAACTTTTTTTCTAGATTAGATTTTTCTTTGTTGACCAAAAACTGTTACTGACCATTAAATCCTGTTCATACGACAGTATTACAATTTCTGATCATGCACAGTTATTGTTGGGCCTGCATTTTGCGCAAAAACCACCCGGCTATAGATTTTGGAGGTTTAACTCTCTCTTGCTTTCGGATAAAAACTATGTCCTAACACATTCTCACTCCCGGCTCACCACATATTGATGCTTTTAACGACCTGGATACCCCTTTTGCATCATTTATTGACGTTTAGGGCTCTGCATTCAAGTTAGCAGCGCTTAGCAACACCAAATATACAACTGCCGGTAAAGTTAGCAACAATAAATATGCAATGTTCGGTTAGACTTTCAAAAAAAACCCCGCTAGGGTTTCGAAACATTGCCATTTTGAAACGGCACGTTATCCAAGTCTTGAAAAGTTGCAGTTTGGTTAGGCTTATGCACAAAAAGTACTTGGTTGGGTTTAGGCAACAAAACTACTTGGTTAAGGTTAGGAAAAGATCATGGTTTGGGTTAAA